GCTTTTAATTGTAGCATCTGGGTTTGAAGTTAAAGTATCAATGGAACCAATGAATAAGATGGCACTGAAGTTTTGGTCCACCTGCTGAAAGCAGCATGTAATAAATATAGAGAACTCTTTAAACCAAGTAAACTGAGCTGGGGACATGGGAGAGTCTGCTTAGAAACCAGATGCAGAAAACGTATTTTAAGTGTTTTCTGAGCAGCAAAGAAAATTGGTTTACTCTATGCTGTCCAACAAAGTGCAGTGGTTCAGATCAAATGGCCTGAAAGTGTCATAATTGTTATCTCCCCAAATTTGCTCCTTGTTCCTGACACTCAGTACATTTTGTTGTGGTGAGATAACAATATATGACCTTCTCTTGCTTACGGAGATCCTTTGTACTGCTACATTTCCCAGGGTGGAGTTGTTGACTGGGTCAGTTTTAAAGCTTTTTAAGGAGGTGAATGTTTTCTGATTTAAATGAAGACTACTTCTGTACTTGTTTACAGGAGCTTCCCCTAGTCCTAACATTTCACAGTATTTTAACTTCATTAGACACTTGAATGCTTCCAAATACCACGTTGATTTGCTAAAGTTTTCAAAAGTTGGCAACATTTGACTTTGTAAAGCAAATGTCTTTTGCTAACTACGCAGTTGGTGTGTTTGAGGAGTCTTTTTGGTTTAGGTGATAACTAAGCTAATGATGTTTATCTAAAATACCTGTTAAATTTGCAGCATTTATTAGGTAGATTCTGTTTCTATAGCTTTAAGGACCTTAATTGGCATATGGCTGAGATTTTATCAGGGTATTATCTAAATAAGAATCAGACCACGAAGAGGACATTTTTATGGTGTTCAAACAGACTATATATACTAAGACATTGAATTTGGAGGTAATAAATCTAATGACCCTTTGAGTTTGCATTCTTCCACAGCTCATGCAAAACATATTGGTGTTTTATGGGGTTATAAAATTTTAATAGTGAATACTAGTGTAACAGAACTTGCTCTTTTTATTCATGGCCATGTAAGCAAGAATGGAAGGATGCTAATCTTGAATTCCTGCTTTTAGTTATCACAGTGGACATTTCTCTAAGGCATGAGATACTTAGCAGCAACTCTTAAATTGATTTCTGGACAGTTTCTCCCCCATAGTGGATGAGCTCCTCCCATTTCCTGCAATATGAGTAAGATGGAAAGTTGATGAATTTGAATGACTGTTGTCCAGTTACTGTAATTGCAGTCATATTTTTATATAATGCAAATGATTTGTAATGGACACCACTGAATTTGGTGTTTCCATATTATTAAAGTTCTGGTCGTGATGTCTAGTGGCTGTTCTAACTGCATGTATTTTAGAACAGGGAATTTCACTTGCTTTCCTGGGCTGTTTCTTTGTCATAAATTACAGCCAAAGAAGCAGCAGGTACTTTTCACTCATGCTTCCAAGGTTTAACACCAAAGACAAAAATAATTGTTTTCATCACAGAATTTAAAAAAACAAACAAAACCCAAACCAAGCCAACAAAAAAAAAGAAGAAAAAAAACCTGAAAAATCTCCACTCATCAGCTCCTTGCAGTGATAGCAGATATAACTTTAAGATACTTGGGGCTCCATGAAAAGAGAGTTTCTGAAACCAGCTCATGACTGTCCTGTGAACCAAACAGGAATTGGTCTCTGAACCAGCCTGAATTTCTGTGCTGTCTAAACTGTCATGTGAGCTGAAATTTGCTGTGAATAATCACCAGCTGGCCTTTGCTGCTCCCAGGCAGAATATCCTCTCCTTTATCCAGGAGAGCCGGGCAGGTTGGGCTGCCTTACAGATGGATTCTTGTTCTGTGCAGGACAGGACTGTGACCTCAGCACAGGCAAACACAGGCAGTTGTCCAAATCTTAACTGAAACCCAGGCAAGGCTGATGTCAGATTCATTAGATATTTCTGCCTCAGAGGCAGAATTTGATGGCTTTTAAAAGTCAAAGGAAAAGACGAGAATATACAAAATATTGTGATCCCATGTGAACAAGAACAAGCTTTTGAAGTTTTATCTTTCTCTGGCCTCCCTGGAGCAATGGCATACTGGGCAGTGCCATCCTGCATCCAGGGTCTGTGCAGCATCACTTTGGTGTAGAGAGGCAGTTGGCTTTGAGCTGAAAGAGAATGAGCTGCTAAGAAGGCTCATCCATTTAAGAACTAAAATGTGCAATGTGCCTGATTCGTTTGGTCTAGTTTAAGCAACCTGCTTGTACAGTTTTGGAGCATGAAGGTAGTGGAAAGAAAGCTTCTTTAGTAAGATACTCGGTATTGCCAGGAATCTGGTTAGAACACCAGCAGTGAGCAAAAGTGGGTGATGTGCAAGTGCTGATACTGAGTCCAGGGAGCAAGTACAGCACCCGTTTGTGACCATCTGCCCCATCCCTGTATCTCAGCTTGTTCCTTTGCACTCTGTTCATTGCAGTTCTTGCAATGAGAGTAAGCCCAGGTGTTTTGTTAACGCTCAGTGTTCAGTAAATCTGTCACTGAGTCTCTGAAATTGGCACTGAAGAGAGATTTAGTTTTTAATAAAACAACTCAGCAGCAAAATGGGCACAGAGGATCATGTTTTCGAGGCTTAGAGGAAGACATCTCCTGTTTGTGATTCCTTGCTTGTGATTGTTGTGAAGTCAGTGAGAGGAGCTTTCAGTGGTTAAATATCCTGGCACTTAGTATTTCTGTCTAATGTCACAGCACAGTTTTGACAATGTAAAAGAACAAAAAAGTGTGGAAGTGCTCCTTTCTTAGAAACAAAAGTGCAAAACTTAAAATAAAAACTTTGAAAACAAAGTGCAATTTTGCACAGAGGGAAAAAAGCCCTGAAACCCCTTTGAATGTCACTTCCATTCTTTATTTCTTTTGCTGAAAGCAGACTCTTGTTCTTGACTTGTATTTGTAAACTAGTCTTGCCAAAATATGCGTTGGGTTTTTTTCATTTCAGATAATTTTTGTGTTACAGTCGTTGCTGATCATTTTAACTTTTTTCAAACCATAAATTTTATTTCAAGAGGCCTTCCCTGTGGATTTCCTCCTGGTGCTCTGCAGCACTACACTGCTATTTCAAGAGGCAAGAGAAAGTCACCTCACAGGAGCCACTCAACACAGCTTAGCTGGCTGGAGCTAATAATGCGCTACTAATTTTCCTCTGTGGGGCAGGAGGGGAATTAAATTCTGCATAAAGTTGCTACCTCAAGGCTCCAAGTGCTTTTAAAGGTCTTTCACTTGGGAGAATTTAATAAGATAGTTCTTAAAATTGGTCTGTTCTTTTGAGTTAAATGGCTTTTTTTTAACTGATTCATTGAGGGACCCTTATTTTAATTCATTTTACTGCTTGATTCTCAAAAGGATGAACAGCTGAGAAGTTTGGTTCTTGCACTGTAGTGTTGAACATGAAAGGAAAATATCTGCCATATAAGCATATGGTTTTAACAAGTTAAACCACTCTGGGGTTCAGCTTCACTTTTGGTTAATAAAAAACTGACCTGTTGTGTCCAGCCTTCCTGTACAGTCCTGTGTGTGCTCGTTATTGACTCACTGCAGCTGACACAGCCTCCAGCCTTACAGCAGCTCCCTGGATACACTTGGAATGCCTGAGTGAGTTCCTCTTGCCAGAACCTCGTGGAGAGCAGCACCTGCCCTACTGCAATAACAACAACAAAAAACATTTATACAGCACCTGACCTCCCAACTTTTGCTGCTTGGTGATGAAATTTTACTAATATCTTAAAGGTAATACCAGCTTCTGTAGGTAGTGTTGGTCCCAGTAAAACTGGCTGTTCTGATAAGTCTGCCAAATTATTGTGGAACTGATTTATTGAGCACTACACTAACTGGTTCTCAGTTCCCAGAGAAACACAGTATTTCTGAAGGTATCTTGTTAGCCTGCACTTACAGCTATTGAATTTTATGTGGCAAACTGCCTTTTCTTTAACTTAACTAACAATCTGAAAATTACTTTGGTACATGTGAAATTATATTTGCTTTGGCTGAAGTTCTATTTCTGAACGCTCAGCAGTTTATGTACCATTTTTAAGTCAGCCCAGGAGTGGAGCTCAGGTGGATTGTGGTGCTGAGAAAGCTCTGCTGGAATAATGCAGGGCCTTTGCACAAACTGAGCTCTGTGAAGGTGCAGGCAAAGGTGTCTTGTGGGTCAGATGTGCATTGGGCTACTGCAGTGTTTCCCTGCTGGGCTCGATGCTAATTCCTGGATGAGCCTTCTGGTAAAAGAAGTAAGATTCTGTGAAGTTCTTTTGAGGAGAATGTGTAATTACTTCAGCAGAGCAAACGTATTTCCATCCTTTCTGCTTTTCTGTGGTAAGGATACATTTAATGCCAATGGACTCGATGCGAATTCCTGGATGAGCCTTCTGGTAAAAGAAATAAGATTCTGTGAAGTTCTTTTGACGATGTGTAATTACCTCAGCAGAGCAAACGTATTCCCATCCTTTCTGTGGTAAGGATACATTTAATGCCAGTCTTTAGAGCAGGTACAAGATACTAAAATGGTGTTATTTTATCATCCCAATTAGTGCAAGCACAGGCTGCCAGGCTCGTTCTGTGCACGCCTCCAGCTCGGTTCAGCTGTGTGTCCCTGCAGAACGGAGGCTGGGCAGCAGAGCCGGTGTTTGTGCCTGGTGCCAGGCGCCACCTTTACCGGGAGCTGCCTGGGGACCGACACCCGTGCTTGGAGGACGAGCGTTCCCGTGTGCCGGCCCGCGGCCGCGCGTTCGGGCTGCGGCGCTCCGCGTGTGCCTCAGGGCAGCGCTGGCTGTTCCCGGCGATTCCTCTCACGCTCGGACACCGCTCTCGCTCTCCTCTGTGCGCGGGGCTCGGTGCGCCCGGGGCTCGGTGCAGCGGGCCCGGCCGCGGGGTTGCCATGGCGACAGTGACCCCGCGCGGTTGCCATGGTGACTGACGGTGACCCCGCGCGGCCGCCATGGTGACTGACGGTGACCCCGCGCGGTTGCCATGGTGACTGACGGTGACCCCGCGCGGCCGCCGTAGACGGGGCGGGCAATGGCGGCGGCCGCGTTCGAGCGGCGCGTGCTGCGGCGCGCGGCCGAGCACCACTATCTGCGCGTGCGCCTGTGAGCGGCACCCCCGAGCCGGGACCCCCGAAGCGCGACCCCCGAGCCCCCTCAGACCCCTCCTCACCCTCTGCTCTCCGTCCCGCAGGGAGCTGCCCGACGGCGGGGCCCGGCCGAACGCCGCGCAGTTCAAGCAGCTCGTGGTGACGGCGCTGAGGGAGCTGCACGGGGAGGTGGGACCGGGACCGGGTCTGTGCTCGGCGGGCGGCTCCGGGCTGGGCCGGGGCTGGGTCTGGCCTCCGCTGTCCCCTGGAAGGACGCTTGGCTGCGGAGCGGTGTCGGGGTGATGGGCTGGGCTCCGACTCGCTCCTGCTGCGGCCGTGCGGCTCGGTTCGGTTCGGCTCGGCTCGGCTCGGCTCGGCTCGGCTCGGCTCGGTGCGGTGCCCGCGGTCCCTGGCCGTGCTCAGGGTCGGGTTGGACCGGGCTCGGAGCAGCCCGGCCCGGTGGGAGGTGCCTCCGGCCATGGCAGGGAGCTGGGGCTGGGTGAGCTCTGTGCCGAGTTCCGCTCTGCTGAGTGAAAGCACCACTGAGCTGCTTTCCAGCTCAAACCGTTCTTTGATACTTGTTTTTAGGATTTGTGGTGTTGATGCTTTTGCTGTAGAGAGGCTTTAAAAAGAGAACTGTGGGAAGGGAGCAGCTTTTTGGATGGGAGAGTCCACAGCACTGTTTTTGCTCAGCTTACTTTATTGCTGGTTCATTTTAAGCAGGTCACATCACCTCTTGGTCTGTGTTTCTCTGGTTGTAAGGTGGAAATAAAAGTGGTTTCTAAAGAACTCTGAGAGGAAGGACGCTGTTTAAAATGCAGTGGTGTTGTAACTGAAACACTTGTGTGAGATTTGAGCATAACTATAGTACCTTTAATGATGTAACATGCTGGCGGTAAAATCAATTGCATATAGACAACAATAAGAACATAGGATGATACTTATTAAATATTTTTTTTTCATAGGTTGGAGCAGCTTTGCCTGTTGATGTCCTAACATATGAGGAAAAAACTCTGTCTGCCATATTAAGAGTAATTAGCAGGTAACATGCAGTCAGTATGTGCTTCCATGCCACGAAAATATTTTTTGTAAGAAAATAGAACTCTTAAACTAAGAATGGTTTGTGAAGAATTAAACCTAACTTGCAGATATTTGCATTCTGCATGCAGAAAATAATTACTGAATCTTGGTGACTTCATGCATCAGCGCATTATTCCTGCTTTAAACCAGAATGATTTTAATGGTTTTAAGTCAGGAAGTAAGCATTACTGAGGTAGTGATTTTAAACCTCTTTCTATAGTAAAGATGAGAACAGTTACTCTAAATGGTGATGACAACTGCAGGTGATTTAGGTGAAGAATGAGCTTAAATGCACACTGAGAACAAGAATGGTTCTGGTAAAGTGAACTTGAGGTTGCAGTACATATCTCTGTGTCAAAGACAAGAGATTGCAATAATCCTTCAAGATGTAGTTTTGCTACTAGAACTCTTCAGTGAAATTACCTGCTGTTAAACTGTACAGTGCTTGTTACTCTTTGCATAACATACTTTCTGTTTGAGATGTCTGTGCTGCAAGAAAACAGAAAGCCCCCAGATTTTATTAATATATTTTGTTTTCTTTTTATTTAGTGGCCTTGTCAAGCTGTGGAGTGCTCTAACCTTGCTGGGCTTCTACCAGAACAGGAGGTGTGCCTTCCGGGTGCTGCAGGTAAAGCCCTGCAGGGCTGGCTGCCTTCCCCCAAATGTCAGCTCTGGCTCTAAGCTTGGCAGGCTGCCTAGGCCTACTGCCTTTTCATAGAAGGATGGCCTAGATGCAAAAATGCCTTGGTTTGGGAAAGAAGTGCCCTTCAGTGCAGTTGTGTGGGCCCATGTTTGAGCAGTTCTCATCCTAAAATGAGTCTTGTACAATGTGACAGTAGTGGTTGTCTCATATCTTACAGGTTTCACTCCTGTGACAAGTCCTGGTGTCATTTATACATTTGCAAGAAAATAATTTCTGGCAAGTGTTCATGACCCACATCTTGGTCCAGGTTTTATTTTCCCTACTCTACTTTCTGCCTTTCTAATGGTTACTGTTAATTGACCTTGTTTAACAATGCATGTATGAACATGCACTTCCAGAGCTTATTTTTTTCCAGAGGATGCTGCTTAATAAAATGAGTTCTTAGAATTCTGTTTCTGAAGCCATGGCTAGACAAAAATGTGCTCAGGCATAGTTCTTAGTTTTTAATCTATCCTGTGAAAGGAAAATTGAAATATTTTCAACTTGGAAAGTATTTGATGGTGGGTATTTTTAAGGCTTTAGTTGTTCAGTTCTTGTTTGTTTTTTCTTTCCCCAAACTAGACATCTCCGTTTCTACTTGCGTTATCTGGCAACAGTAGAGAATTATCCTTGGACTGAATGCAGTTGTTGGTTCAGCTGCATGCAGGAGAAGTTCCTGGAAATGTTGTGGCCCTTCAGGCGTGGAATTTCTGGTGGGATTTTCCAACAAAGAGCCCTGACAAAACCAACATTTATCAACTCACTGCTTGGACATGCCGTATTTCAGAACTTACATGTAAAAGTTGGAGACAAAGCTGAACTTAGTAAGGCTTTTACACAGAATGATGTAGTTACCTTTTCTTATTTAACAGGTGACACAAATCCTTTGCATTTAAATGAAGAGTTTGCACAGAAGTCTAGGTTTGGGAGAACTGTTGTACATGGAGTTCTCATCAATGGACTTATTTCTGCAGTTCTGGGTACCAAAATGCCTGGTCAAGGATGTATATTTCTTTCCCAGGAGATTCGTTTTCCAGCTCCTTTGTATGTTGGTGAAGAAGTCACAGCTGCAGCAGAAGTGAAACGACTGAAGGGTTCTGTTGCACACATTTCTGTATCGTGTCAGGTCAGAGAAAGTGGGAAAACTGTTATGGAAGGGATGGTGAAAGTCATGGTGCCAGAGAGTTAGAACTGTTCATCATGTGCAACTTCAGCATAAAGGCCAGAACCAATGTACACTTGATTTTGAGTCTCTTTTTATGTGACATCACTTAAACCAGTAAATTCCTAACAAAAGCCTTTCACAATGTCTGAAAGTTCACAAACTTGACCTTACTAGAGCCGCATTAAAGTCAGAGCTTTTCCTTTTTTCACTGTGATGGGTTTCTCCGCCAAGGTGAACTAGGCACTTGCTGGGACAAAGTGGCACATTCAGACAAGCCTTTGTGCTGCCACAGTGGGAAGTTTGGACTGGTGGGACTCACACTGTGGTTGTTCTTCCTGGTAAAGTTGCAGTCCACACCAGCAAAGTTCAGTTAAAACTTGTTCCTTCTGTGCAAAGCAGCTGTACTGCCAACAAGCACCAGGGGAGGGGACTGTCCTGTGTTCAAAAGCAGAACAGAAGTGGAGGTGCTGACACACATGTAGATGTGTTGTAATCTGCATGGCAACTCCAGCTGGTGTTTCTTCTGAAACTTGCCTCCCAGAAAGAGAGTGAAGGAAAAAAAAATTATCACAAAAAATGTATTGCCACAACATGTACTTACTGTATTTGTTCTTCTGAGGGCAAGACAAGCAATGGCAGATGATTTGAGTACTGACTGTATGGCTTCCCTGTCTTTGAGTGTGTGAACATAGATTTCCCTTTGTCAACTGAAAGTCTACACTTGGTAGAGTAGACTTCTGGCAAATTCATTAGTAAATCATCCGGGTTAAATTATTTTAGTACTGGCATAAGGTTGTTATACACGAAAAAACTTGTTTTAGGAAAGATTGAGGCCATCAGGGGTAAGGTGTTCAGTTGGTGGCTCATATAACTTTCTGGCAAAGCGTCTGTTACCCCCGTCTTCTCTGCAGCAGAAATGCATTTGAAATTTCCTTGACTGCAAATAACCTCAGAAGTTTTCTGCTAAGAAAAGAGAGTTTCTCCTCAACCTGTGATGAAAGCTACTGGTAAAACAGCTGCACAGCCAGAGTGCTGCACTCTTAGCCAGGTATTAGTCACACTGGAGCAGAGGGAGGTGTAATGTTTCAGGTGTTTGACTCCATGCCTTCTCTTTCTAAAGCCTGGAGTTTGGCCTGGTTGCAACCTGGAAGCAGTAATTAGGAAGAGGTTTCCTTTATCTCTTGTCTGTGGGAGCTGTTTCACTTTCCGTTTCCTTCCCTTCTGCCTCAGGTCACTGCCTGTCACTGGCTTTTGCTGGACAAAGCACTTCATCGAAGCAGGCCCCGTCCTTACCCTGCTCCTTGTTCACCTCCCTCTCCAGGTGGGAATTGTCTATGAACAAAATGAATCAGATCTGTGCCTGACCTCCAGGGTCACTGCAGGAGTAGTTTGGGGAGTTGGGGTTGCTGTTTCAGCCTGGCTGCTGAACCACAGCAGCACAGCTCATTTTCCTCTCATCGTGGAGCTGCAAGACAGAGAGATGAGGCTGTTTATGACATCTGCTCCAGGTGTATGACAAACTCCAGCTCTGCAGTCTGACATCTTAAGTGAGAGTAATCCTGTGTATGGTGTAAAAAGAGGAAATACAGACAGGTGTCCAACTTGTAGGTTCTCAAGCATTAAGTAGTATTCAAATAGAAAGTTTCTTACACTGCTGCAAAGTCATGCTGAGGAATTCAATTGTTAACAACTTTAAATCTGTGTTTTGAAAAACAACCAAACCAAAAACCAAAACCCCACAAAATACTGACTCCAAACCCTAAATTCTAGACATTTAGTAAAATATACAGGATATTCTGATCATTTTATTAACACAAAACACCCTGAAAGGTAAAGAGCAGGAAATGCGTCAACCCTTACAATTTTCCTGGTCTCTGTGGGAGGACCAGCAGTGTCTCGGGGCTGATTCCCCGGGGCTGCAGCTGCTATTGCCGCTGTCAGTGTCACCCGGGGGCACCAGGCGAGGAAAGCTTGAGCAGAAAGGCGCCTGCACTCATGGCCTCCCTCCAGCCCCTTTCCCCGTGATTGCCCGCCGAGACGAACCTCCTCGTGTCCCCTCTCCCGGCCGTGTCCCCCATCCCGCCGTGTCCCCAATCCCGGCAGGGTTCCATATCCCGCCGTGTCCCCCATCCCGCCGTGTCCCCATCCCGGCCGTGTCCCCCATCCCGGCAGGGTTCCATATCCCGCCGTGTCCCCCATCCCGCCGTGTCCCCCATCCCGGCAGGGTTCCATATCCCGCC